TGGGTTGGGTTGATGCAACACCCCAGGCCCAAATTAGGTTGGTTGGTTTGATTTCTATCTCAGTCTTCATCTGGGAATCAAGGTGGCTTTCATGGGAATTCCTTACCACAAACTTGGGAGATAGGTTGCACTCAGAATTACTGGCCAAAGTCACCCAGGGAGAGATCATGACTGATCTTGAAAAAGTGAAGCAGGGTTGGACCTAAGATGAGAATCTTCCACAGATTACCAGGTGGTCTGCAAAGACCTAGCCCATGTTTCTCAACCTCAGCCTTTTTAAGATGTGTGGATTAACTTCTTGTAGAAGAAGGCTACAAGTACAAAAGATGTCTTCAAATGCTGGAATACTCTAGGTCAGTGTTTCTCCACCTGAGCAATTTGAAGAGATGTGGACTTCATGCTGGCTGGGAAATTCTGGGAGCTGAAGTCCACTCCTGTTCAAGTTGCTGAGGTTGAGAAACACTGATCTAGACAACCACTAGAGGGAACAAAGTTAGGCTGGTCATCTGGAGTTTTGCAGCCCAACCCTGATCGTTCTCATAGTCTGTTGGAAATCCGAAGGCTGTAAGCTAGACTGGGAAGTCAAAAATATCCCAGAAGAAAGAAATCAACCATTTTAGTGGTGTTGGCAAGATGCATCCATGGATGCATCCATGAAATCAGCAGCAGTCAAACTCTGCTCCTAGCCTTCCTATAGATGTTTAGTGTCCCTTGTTGGAAACAGTATGCGGGGGGAAAGCAACACACGCACCCATTTGCACAGCACACTGAAACTAGTTAATTCTCCTTACAGGTGGCACTAGAAAGCTGCTTCAGCTCTTCTTTTCTCTCCAGCTCTTTTTCTTGGTTAGTTGGGTGCTGCTGTTTCTACAGCATAACTAACTGGGTTAGTTTAACTCTCTGCAAGACCAAGTTTGTTTGGGGTTAATATTGCTCCCCTGGGGGTTAATTCAGTCAGTTAACATCCTTTGTGTTGACCCAATACCCTACCTGTGACCCATTTAAGTCTGTTGTGGGAACAGGGACTCCAGAAAGGGTCCTCCAGTTCTGTAATAAGGACCCCACTTGTTCCAGACAGACAACATGAGAAAAACTTTCCTGTGAAATGCATCACCTGTGAAGTACCTGCACATTATGCCAATATTAGGGGCCCAGAAGTGCCTGTCTTGGAAGCAACCAGTCCTCTTAACTTTGTTAGAGCTTGACAGAAGTAATAAGGGCTTTGTACAAAGAAGATAAAGTCCACTATTGTACCATTTCATGGCCAAATCTTCCTCTCAGCCACCGTCTCTCTCATTGGCACCGTCCAGGGCCAAGACTGCAGCTGCAGCCCCTCCGAATGGGTCTCTTTGGGAAATGAACAATTTTCCAATAGATGAGAAACATTCTCTGTGTTCCCACAACCTAGCAACCAATTATCCTGGCAAAAAGTCCTGCCAAGTCATGGATCAAATAAATCATTTGGGCCACCAGATCTGGACTGCGGCAGGCAGAAAGTGGAGTTTAATTCTCTCCCAGCTTCAGCACAGATTGAGTTTGTGTGCTGTATTAAGTCATGGTGTAGCTAATGTTTCCATTTCTTGTTTTTATAGTAACTATTAATTTTTTAAAAAGAACAATAAAAACTAACAAGAACTAATATTAAGAAAAAGAAGAAAAGAGAAATTAGAAAAAAATAACAAAGATCAAGAATGCAGAAAAAAAGAAGAGCAAAAAAAAATTGACTTCCAACCCTCCTTGCAACAGATATAAGTAACAATACACATTAAACTCTTGCTCTAAATTAACAACATAATTTCCATTATTTCTTTAACCCCTATTATTTCTAATCAACAAATCCATACAGTACAATTTCATTTTTTTCCTGTTTCCCGCAAAAAGGCCAAAAGAGGTTTCCAGTTAGCATTAAAATTACACAATGTCTTATCACGAATCAAAGCTGTCAGTTTCGCCACTTCAGCCAACTCCATCAGCTTCACCATCCATTCTTCCACTGTAGGTAATGTCTTATCTTTCCACCTCTGTGCACAATAAAGCCTTGCTGCTGTTATCATATATAAGAACAAAGTTCCATTAGTTTTTTCCAACTGTTTATCCATCAGTCCCAAAAGGAAAGTCTCTGGTTTTGATTGAAGATTAATCTTTAAAATCTTCTGTATGCAAATATAAATCTCATTCCAATTTTTTTTTTGCTTTTTTTGCAAATCCACCAGAGATGATAAAATGTTCCTTCTTGTTGTTCACATTTCCAGCATACATTCAAAGTGCCTTTACACATTTTAGATAATTTTTATGGTGACAAATAGCCAACAATACATCATTTAGTGTTTCCATGTCCATATTCTGCCGGGCTATCAGTAGGGTCCCCAAAGAGTTTCATAATCTGTAGGACTCCCACCCAAAATCCCTGGCTGGAGAGGAAGATCTTGACTCCTTTCCTAAAAGCAAAAATGGAGGGGCCAAACACAGCTTCCCAAGGAATGCAACCCACATGAGCAGAACAGGAGAAGCCCCCTCCCCAGGTGGCCACAAACCGAAGGAAGTGCAGAGATTTTTCAAGGAAAATTTAGGGTTTGCGACCACAGCCCATAATACCCAAATGAAGGATGGGATACATCTCACAAAAGCAGGTAGAGCTACCAGATCTGATCTGCAAACAAGGTTTCTGACCACCAGATGTCAGCAAAGAGAAAGGTTCTGGGTCTTTGTGGCCATCTAGTGGCTGTGTAGATATAATTTTTTTTTCCCAACCCAGATCTGGCAACTGTGGACAAGTTGCATTGCATTTCACCTTTACGCAATATAATTTTTAAAAAGCTCCATGAGGAAAAGTATGGATTTTTCTCCCTTTTTTGTATGTATGACTTCCTCCTTGGTCTTTTGTTGGAGTTATTATACATCTGAATCTGTGTGTATGTCCTAATATACATCGTACCAAAAAGAAGGCTGATAGCAAAGGGTAAGATGCCTTTCACAAGACCTTCTAGGGCCATCAACTAGTGGTCTTCTGGATTCCTCCAGATCAGATCTGATAGCCCCCGTCCTGTTGCCTAAAACACCGATCCACTTTTTGTATGGATCCTCATGATGGCTTACCCTGTTCCAACACAGTAATAGCTCCATTCACTCATCCTCTTTCAACCACTGGAGGGCAGCAGAGGTCAGTTGATGCCAAAGGAACAAAGTTGGCTTCAGCTGATGCTGGCAGGAGAGTGAAAGATAGTTTAATTATTATTCATCTTGTTGCAGTATTTAGCATTCCCAAATTTTAACTGCCTCCTCTGCCTTTGCCAGGTGCCTGGGGGCCAAAAAGTAGGACATGGGAAATCTGTGATTGTGCCTCCCAGTATCTTTCCTTCACATTTAACAGGCGCAAGGGAATGAAC